GCAAGCTTCAACAAGTGAGACACCACCGCAAGCTTCAACAAGTGAGACACCATCGCAAGCTTCAACAAGTGAGAACCATCGCAAGCTTCAACAAGTGAGACACCGCAAGTTTCAACAAGTGAGGCACCATCGCAAGCTTCAACAAGTGAGACACCATCGCAAGCTTCAACAAGTGAGAGACCACCGCAAGCTTCAACAAGTGAGAGACCACCGCAAGCTTCAACAAGTGAGACACCATCGCAAGCTTCAACAAGTGAGACACCATCGCAAGCTTCAACAAGTGAGAAACCATCGCAAGCTTCAACAAGTGAGACACCATTCCAAGCTTCAACAAGTGAGAAACCATCGCAAGCTTCAACAAGTGAGACACCATCGCAAGCTTCAACAAGTGAGACACCATCGCAAGCTTCAACAAGTGAGAACCATCACCAGCTTCAACAAGTGAGGCACCATCGCAAGCTTCAACAAGTGAGACACCATCACAAGCTTCAACAAGTGAGACACCACCGCAAGCTTCAACAAATGAGACACCATCGCAAGCTTCAACAAGTGAGACACCATCGCAAGCTTCAACAACTGAGACACCATCCAAGCTTCAACAAGTGAGAGACCACTGTTAAATTCAACAAGTCAGACACCATCACTAGCTTTAACAAGCAAATCAAAATCAACTATGCCTCTTCCACGAACAAGTCCTCCAACCTCCAAGTAAGTTCTAATAGTGAATACAAAGACTTTTGTTATGAATTTCTCATGAAAGATATTCCCAAACTGTCCTTGACTGTGAATCAATCTATTTATATCTGATATCGTTATAAAGGCAACATATTGCATGTGTAATTTAAAAATTATGTATTTCATACCCTGATCAAACTTCTTTCTGTAATAACATTCTTACAGGCAAAAATGTTGTTGGATTGAAATTTACGCTGACTCAACTGGATTGGAATGATGACTACATGGATAAAACAAGTGATCAATACAAGGCACTAGAAAAAGAAATAAAAGATGAGGTACACCAATTTCTTTTCTTTGTGGGCACACAAGGTACATTCACATTATAGATTTTGAAAAATGTTGGGAATTATAATTATAAAACCACTGTGAAACATTATAAGCTATTAAATGAACTGAATACACTTTTTACACCATTCTTTTTCAATATCCTGATGTTCATATTGTTCCATTTGGATGTTTTAATATTTTACTAAATGTTAAATGCTTTATTAAGATACTATGCAAAGCTCGTTATAAATTATTAAAGACTATGATTACCAGCTACCACATTCTATTAATTATAGTTATTGGCCATTAACAAATATCACATTGATTATGTAGAATATGATGAGACAGTTTGATGTAAAAGTAAATCCAAATGGGAGGACGTTTTATAGAGTAGACAAGGGGGTCACCATCCAGAGCAAAAAAAGAGTGATCCAATCCATTCCAATTTCATGGGAGTAATCTTGGAAGGGACATTTTGTTAGGGTACTTAATCAAAACAGTTACATGTATCATAGGGAGCTATCCAGGGAGTTGTGAACATCCCACTGAACTAATATTTGTTAATGAATATGTATATTGTCAGAGGTACATTACTTGGGGTTTGCAACTCGCATAGTACTGTATGGTGACATCATGTCAAGATCCCATTCAAGTCTCTTCTCGTAGATAGCGAGACTGGGGCTACGACCTTCTGACATGACATATATCAATGGTCAAGGTTTGTAATGAAAAAATAAAACTTTTCTTGCCACTATCATAGTGAAAAATGTAATACATCGAAAATGTACAGAAAATATAGTTCTCGTAATCCGTCATATCGTGGGCAGCTATTTTGATCCACCTGGACATCCCAGTATCCTAGTTACCTCGGGTGTGCGTATTCGCATTTTTCTGAGTTGGAACGCTTATGCGAAAGCGAGATTGTAACGGGATCTTGGTATCATGTCACCGTAGTTACAAACCCCAAGTAATGTACCTCTGATATTATACAGATAACATGAATAATTTGTTTGTCTTTAATAGTTCCACAAGCTGTATAAAAGCAACAACAATTATCAAAACATAAATATACGAGGCTTCAGGTATGTATTTATACAAAGCAAACTGTATACATTTGTACTGTTTATCTCAGCAAGGACCTAGCTTGTATTCATATGGAGATTGTCAACTGCCACACTTGTATTCATATGGAGATTGTCAACTGCCACACTTGTA